TGGGTTTGTACCTTGTGTGGGGAACTTGGGTAAGATTATTGTATATCTACCTTTGTACATTGGATTATGATTTAGCAGATTGGACGCCTATGTGATCGTCCCCCAGACGTAGATACACACCGTATCGAACTGGGTAAACATTCTGTGTTTTTGGCTTTTGTGCGGTTATCATTCCTTTATATTCTCTTCATGATTTATCGTTACTGATTGTCCCCTTAACTGAATCAATCAGTAATCTAAGTCAGTTATCTAATTCTGTCAATTTACTTAAAATGAGGAATTGCAAAATTACAATATTTATAATTAATGCTAACTAAGGAATTGCAAAATTACAAAATTTAAATGCTATTTTTTAAATTTCTAAATATAATTTTTAATTCTAAATATATCTATCAATATAAATTATAATTAATGAAATTATATTATAGAATTGAATTTTCTTATATACATATTAATAAATATTATGTGTATATACAATGTATTATACACTCATATAAGGAAATGCGTCCAATTAGAGTTTAAATTTATTAATGCAAAATTTAGAATTTACATTTTTTTATTGATTTCTAAGTACAATTATCTTAGTTATTATTATTCATATCTTTAGAATTAAAATATATATGAAATACAATTTGGAATAAATCAACTTAATTATATGAATTTTTTAAATAATTTAAATATGTGAAACAATGATTTCAAAATGAAATTAATATACAGTTATAAATAAATATAGCTTGAGTAGATTTACTTTAATTAGTTTTATTTCATTAATGAAATGAATTTTCTTTTATCAGTTTTTTTATGGGAGACTAGGGGAGTGATTGGATTGCTGAAAAATAATTTAAAATAAAAATACATACTAATAAAAAAATAATTTTAAAATATTTTTTAACCCATCATAACATGTGTAAATCTTATATTTTTAAAAAATACAATTTGATAAATATCATAATTTTTGTTCTGTTTATAATAATTAAAGAAAAAATAAATAATTCAAATATGTGAACTAATGATTTCAAAATGAAATTAATATACAATTAGAAATAAATATAGCATGGCATTTTTCTTTCAAAAAAAGAAATAAATATAGCATGATTAGATTTACTTTAATTAGTTTTTATTTTCTTAATGAAATGATTTTTCTTTATCAGTGTTTTATTAGAGACTAAGGGAGTGTTTAGGTTGCTAGAAAATATTTTAAAAATAAAAATACTTACTAATAAAAAATAATTTTAAAATATTTTTTAATCCCTAAACAGGAGAAAATTTTATATTTAAAAAAAAATACAATTTGATAAATATCATAAATTAATTATTGTAATATCATTTATGTTTACAATGAGAATAATTAAAATAAATAAATAATTCAAATATGTGAACCAATGATTTCAAAGTGAAATTAATATACAATTACAAATAAATATAGCATGATTAGATTTACTTTAATTAGTTTTAATTTCCTTAGTTAAATGACTTTTCTTTATCAGTTTTTTATGCGAGACTAAATGAGTGTTTGGGTTGTTGGAAAATATTTTTAAAATAAAAATAATTTTAAAATATTTTTTTAACCCCTAAACATGAGAAAATTTTATATTTTAAAAATATACAATTTGATAAATATCATAAATTAATTATTGCAATATCAATTATGATTACAATGAGAATAATTAAAGTAAAAAATAAATAATTGAAATATGTGAACCAATAATTTCAAAATGAAAATAATCTATCTATAATCCTTTATATAATAAAGCTATATGGTTTGGGAAATAATTAATGTTATAATAATTGACACAACATCCTTTATTAAAAAAAAAAAAAAAAGCACAACATTTAAAAAATAAAATAGCTATATATTATATAATCATATAAAAAATGTACTTTTGAAAAATAAAATAGCTATATATTATACAATCATATAAAAAATGTGTTCAATTAGAGTTTAAATTTACACATACAAAATTTGAAATTTGCTTTCCAAATGTAATTATCTTAGTTATTATTTGTATTGTGAAAATAATAATATATATGAAATACAATTAAGAATAAATCAATGTAATTATGTAAATTATCTCTATAAATTTATTTGAATATGCACATAATTAGAGATTATAATAACTATACAAAATTATAATTATAATTATAATTTTAATTTTAATTATAATTTTGTATTCTATAAAAATAATAAATACTTGACCAATGGAAGCTCAAAAATATTATTATATTAAATAATTTAAAATATTTTAATTTTTCTATTTTTTATTTATATTTATAATAGCATAATTTTTTTCCGTGTATCGCGCGGGTGAATTACTAGTATTAATAAAAGTAAAATTCTCCTATACAACATTCTAGCCCAAATTAATATGAATATTAATTAATTAGTACAAAATTAATAAAGCTTAATTGGTAACAAAATTTTATATGAAAATTAACTAATATCTAATGAATTGTTACCATAGATTAAAGTCAATATGTACATAAAAATAAAAAATGGTTACCAAATTCTGAGAATAATTAAATTATTATAATTTTGAAAATAATGGACACAAATTCTGCGTAATAAATGTGAAAATTTGTTTGAAATTCTACGTAATTTTATAAAGAAATAATAATTTATTAATTATTATTTACACCAATTTATACTATTAATAAAAGTAAAATCCTCCTCTTCCACATTCTGCCCAATTTAATATCTATATCTAATGAATTGTTACCACATATTAAAGTCAAAATGGTTATCAAATTCTGAGAATAATTAAACCATTATAATTGTGAGAATAACATAAACAAATTGTGTGTAATAAATGGGAAAATCCATTTGAAATTCTATGTAATTTTATAAGAAAATAATAATTTATACTATTAATAAAAGTAAATCTTCAATTAAAATGTCTTTCACCCTTTTGATACGAGATTGCACTTCAAGTTCTAACGAAGACAATTCACGTTGATGCTCGCATATGCCATGACTATCAACAAAAGTCAGGGTCAAATACTAACACACGTTGAGTTATTACTGAAAAAAGAAAAAAAAAAAAGAGCAATCTTTAATCACAGTTAAATGGTTAATTGTATGTGGCTTTTTTACCGAGTCACCCATCCTGGTGGTTTTATCTCTAGACGAGGATGGATAAAATTATGTTACTACTACCAATGTCTCTACAAAGAGATTTTCAATAATGTGTAATTCAAGCCAGTGATATTATGTTTTTTTTTATATACAAAGATGACAAAATTGCTATATATCTACATAAAAAATATATCTTCCGTATAAATAATTTCTATATTGAGTTGCTAGACAACGAGCTAATTAGCCCAATTAATACAAATCCTAAACACGGATATATAAAATCTCTAAAGTTGCAGAACTGAATGCGTATATCTACACGTTAGCTATTAATTGGCAATTATTTGCTCAAATTCAAGCAATGATAACATCAAAAAACAGAATCGGTACAACTCAATTCTTCATGTATATTATATAATATTCGATGTTATAATTTATACAATTATATATCGATCTAAATATTTTTAAAATATTATAACAAATTCATCCCGTGCAACGCACGTGCGAAAATACTAGTATATATATATATATATATATATATATATATATATATATATATATATATATATATATATATATATATATATATATATATATATATATATATATATATATATATATATATATAGTAGATACTAATGAATATAGTAAATAACTATCAATTGTATAATAATTAATTTTTACTCTAAATTAATCAAAAAATTAATTTTACTCTAATTTCGCATCATGAGGAAAATTTAGGAGGGAAAAATTTAGTATTACTTTTCATACCCGCAAATATAATTCGATTACCTAAATATTAAACATAATTAGATACAAAATTTGTTTTAAATAACATTTTCTTGATTATCGTCGCGCCTTTACACCTTTGAAAAAATATTTGCCTTCGTCTTTTCTCCATTTTTTCATTCTTATTTCAACGACTACAGAAAAATCACACACGGACGCGCCTTTACACCTTTGAGAAAATATTTATCTTCGCCTGTTCTCCAATTTTTCATTCTTATTTCAACAACTACAGAAAAATCGCAGATGGACAACTAAAGGAGCTATTGCAATCTACTCCTATTCCTAGCCGGCAAAACCCTAACACATATAGTAGACAACGGTGATTCTTGAGAAAGTATATAAGTCTTTAAAGTTTGTGATTCTTTTCATTATTTATTCATGTGAAATTTTCAATCTTTTGATTATTTTAAAAGGATATCTATCAGGAAATGTAGCAATTGACTTGATGTTTGTAAAATTGATATGAATTTTTATATAAATCGTTATTGATAACCATCGGTTCTTTTGTGATTTGAATATATTATTATTGATATCTATAGATATGTGAATCATCATTTTTAAATTTCTCTGCATAAAACTCACAATGGTGTAAACGAATTGTTGTGCATGGTTTACAAATTAAATGGATTAGCTGCACACTTAATTGGTAATCTATTCCAACTTCACTCTACATATATAAATATTTTAATGGATTTGTCAAAACTTTTTGTTGTACTTCTTAAGAGCATCACTACTTTCTATTCTTGGCTTGTCAATATAATGAAGTGGCGCTTTTGGTCCTTTTGTTAATGGATTTGTCAAAAATATTTATTTTTGCAACTCTATCTAGCAAGTGATTGGTAAAGTTGGAGTGTCAGTTTGATGAAAAAAGAGAAGTAAAAGGTAAAATCATATTATTTGTTTTGAATAATAATGGCAAATTTTTGACATATAGAATGTCTGAAAACGTCACTTTATTGACAATCCAGCAAGAACTAAAAGTTGTGATACTATAACATATGAACCAAATTCAATTATCTTATAACTCAGGGATATAAAGTGCAATTACTCTTTTTTTATAATTTAGTGAATGAATTTTTACCATTTTTTTTTTTTGTTTTGTGTTTAATTGATTTCAAGCAGATATAGAAAGCAATATATGATGGCTGAGAATTCAAGTAGAGGGAGGCAACAAAGGGGAAGTGGTAGAGTGTCATCCAATGACGACTCATCATCTGATGATGACAGAACTAAAGACCCTGATTATCAACTAATAAGGTTGTCGTTTAAAAGACATTATTCAAACCTTAATCCTCCTCCCATTAGGGACACTAATCAAGAACAAACATCAGGTATATAAGGTTGTGTATATTTTATCACTAAAAATATGAATTTTCTGGAATGTCTTTTAATAAATACATTAGTATTTTGATCATATTGATGTGATGATGACCTATGTATGTACTGATGGGTTACTATGTAAATAATTATTTTTATATTTGATTAATATATAAGAGTTTCATTATTTTTAAAACAAGTAATGAATATAAAGATGTGGGGAGATGTAAAACATGGTAACTCAGTAGCCCATAAGGTCAAATGCCGGTACACACAAGTGATCTAGTAAGTGATAATCCCATACATTGGTTTCTTCTCTCAAATACTGTCTAGTGCCTACTAATAAATCACTGAACAGATGTTGTCTATGTAGGGAATAAAAAAATGAATTTCAAATTGAGAGTAACATTATAAAAATTAAAGTGACATACTTGTCTCATATTAAAGGTTTTTTTTTAATTACCAAAAAAAAAAAAAAAAAAAAAAAAAAGAGTTGTCTCTTACGAACATATATATACAATTGGTATGATATATATTATATTATTATATTAAATGATATATGATGTTATATTATTGAAGCTTTATCCATTCATATTCTAATTAAAATATATATTTCATTTGCCACTGCACCTTCTTCTGCAGAGCCACCAGTTCCTAACGTGCGACGCAAGCGCCACCGTTCCGCGAGTGAAAACTGTGATGAAACGACACCTGAAGCTTCAAGGGTCCGTTGTAGGAGGAATATCAGCAGGCCATCGTCATCGTTGAAACCTGCAACCATCCTTTCATGGCTCATTGACTCTAAAACAGTTGAAGAAAACGGAGAAGTTATGGATGATGGGAACATAGAGAAGAAAGGGAAGATAAAGAGGGAGGGGATATTGTGTCGTTGCTGCACAAAAACACTGACACCTCAAGAGTTTCACGCTCACGCCGGAGGAACCTCGTCGGATCAAGAGCGTTATTACGACAGAATCCTCGTCGCCGCAGGTAGTTCGAGAAAATCTATGTTGTCGTGTATGGATGAGGCGTTGCGTGATCCTAGTGAGCGCGAGAATCATGAGACGAAGTTTATCAGTGCAGAGGATAGGCATGATGCTGGGTGCATCGTTTGTGCCATTGGTGGTGATCTCCTCTGCTGCGACGGCTGTAGCTCAACCTATCATCAGCCCTGCATGGATATTACGGTGAGATAGATAGAGATCGATCCAAAACAAATATATATTATTTCTTTAATTTCTACTCTTATCTCTTTTTCAAGTGTTGGGCGGAAGCCAAAAAGGGCCAAGTCAAGCACCATGTATTGAGGGAAATTGTCTGGGGTTAGTAAATGGTCAAGTTCAACAGTACACCATGTGATTAGAGAAATTGTTGGACAAAGGCGGGTAATTAAAGAGCCAAGTCCAGCGCCATGTGACTAGGAGAATTGTAAGCCGGAGGCTAGTAAAGGGTCAAGTACTCAAGTCCAACACTATATATGTGGCTATGGGAATTGTTGGACTAAGATTGATAAAGGGTCAAGTCTAACACCACGTGGCTAGGGGAATTGTTGGGCGAACGCTGGTAAAGGGCCAAGTCTAACACCATGTGGCTAGGGGAATTGTTCGACGAAGACTGGTAAAGGGCTAAGTCCAGCACCATGTAGCTAGGGGAATTGTCGGACGAAAGTTGTTAAAGGGTCAAGTCCAACACCATGTGGCTAGGGAAATTATATTGTTGGACGAAGGCTGGTGGTAGAGCGCCAAATCCAGCGCCATATGTCTAGCTAGGGAATTATTGGGTGGAGGTTGGTAAAGGGTCAAGTCCAACATCATGTGGCTAGGAGAATTGTTGGGCGGAGGCTGGTAAAGGGTAGTCCAACACCCTAGTTCTTGAATATGTGATAGTTGTCCAACATTACTAGTAACTTTTGGCGTAGTGGTAAGTGTTTGATCCTATAAAACACCACGCAAATAACTCTTTTTTTGTTCACCAATTTCAGGAGGTTCCAGAGGGTTCATGGTATTGTCCATATTGTATCTGCAAGTTCTGTGGAGAAATGGATGATGATTTGATGAACAAATGTCATCAATGTGGCAGGAAATGTAAGCAATTAAATTAAGTCAATGTTTGATGTACTCTCATTACCAAAATTATAAGTTAAACAAAATTTTCATTGTTATTGAACAGATCATTTGAAGTGCTGTCAAGGGTTGGAAGAAAGAGAACTTGATCTAAACATGCTCTCTCATGAACTTTACTGTGACCAGAATTGCATAGAGGTGAGCTTTCCTATATATATATATATATATATATATATATATATATATATATATATATATATATATATATATACACACACACGTAGATTCTACAAAAAGATATATTGTGAGATGTGGGCAAATTAAAATGTTTGCATTGCATCATAAGGTCAAATAAGTTGTAATGAAGAGACTAACTACTAATAATGTTTTGTGGTCTAAAACATAGATTTTAATGATATATTTTATGTTTTTGTTGCAAATAAGGTTTCTGAGAAACTGGAGAAAACATTGGTAGGATTAAAGAATGAATTGGAAGAAGGATATTCATGGACTTTACTCCGTCAATTAGATCATCAGCACGGAGTGTACATAGATGAAGATTATGAAAGAACAATTTGTCACTCCAAGCTCGCTATTGCCTGGAGATTAATGGAGGATTCCTTCGGACAAGTCTTTGATAGCTACACAAAAATTAACCTTATCAAAAATGTCATTTACAACTGTGGGTATGTACTAGCTAGACATTATAAAAATTTCTATAACATCATGAATCTAAAGTTAGAAAATAAATTTCATTTTTGAATTATGACATTATATATAGTGATAGACACCTTCTGATCTGTTTCATTTAAACTTTTGCAGTTCAAATTTCAATAGAATTGATTTCAAAGGCTTCTACACCGCTGTCTTGGAAACAAATGGGGAAATAGTTTGTGTTGCAGCTCTAAGGTAATAATCATCAAACATATATGGTATATATTTGTTATATGTGTCAATTTGATTCATAGTATATCACATAATATAATCTCTCAAATGTGAACATTCGAACATATATGCTCTTATTTGGTTTAAGGGAATGCGGAGTTTCTTTACACAATGCGAAATTCTTATCATATTAATGAGAATCTCATTCCTCCTCCCCTTCAAGTTTTTAGAAGTGTTTGGTTCAAGCTATGTTATATCAAATAATTAAAATGTTGAAGCTTTAATTTATGTATATAATGTTGTTTTAATTTATAGGATTCATGACAAAAGGATTGCAGAAATGCCTTTCATTACTGCCCATTCTGCTCATAGACGCAAAGGGATGTGTAGAAAACTTATGATTGCTATTGAATCTGTAAGTTATTTAATTGATCTTTAAAATTATATTTTTATAAGTAATTTACTTTTAATTTCCTTTCTGGCTTAAATTAATTGTCATACACGCATATTGCACGTGCTCCCATATGACCAAGCTAACACCTTTATTTTTCTATATGAATGTTTTTTTTTTAAATATTTTGATTTCCCAACATATATGACATGCTTAACGGTAATATACTTATTTTGCAGGTACTTTGCTACCTCAATATAGAGAAACTAATCATTCCATCTGCACCAGAAAAGACAGAAAGTTGGAAGAAAAAATATGGATTTAGTGTATTAGATGATGAAACAAAGAAACATCTAATAAACTACAATGTATTGATGTTCCATGACGTTGTTAAACTGCAAAAGATCCTCCTTCCTTGCAACAAATGACCAAACATTAAGCTACTACTGCTGCTTTGATGCTGGTTTCACGGCTGCAGCGGCTAAGGCTGCGTTTGGGGCGTGTTTATTTGACAGGCATGGGGTGTTTGTGGCAGCAACTAATGGACCATTATTGGACTGTGTTTATAATTCTCTTCTGGCGCAGTAAGGAAGCACTTTCCTGGATCAAAGCTTGAGGTGTGGAGGTGATACGGATGGTTTCTGATTGTCTTAATTTAGTTCGTGCTAGCTTTAAAAGGGGATCGTATTGATAGAACTTATGTTCGCTCTGTTATTCATTCTTGTCTTTCTTTGCGTAGTTCTTTTGTTTCTTTAGAGTTTTATCATATTAGTCGTTTTGTGAATCGGTTGCCCATGCTTTGGCAAAGGCAGTTAGTGATCAGTCTGAGTCTATGTACTGGGAGGGTTCTCCCCCATCTTTTATTTCAGCGTTGCTTTAATATGAAGTTTGGATTTTTGGGTTTTCAAAAAAAATTGAAAATAATAAAATTTGAACTAATTGCCTATTGGCTATGGATTGTTGAAATTATGCTTAGCTAATTGAATATGAATTGAAGGATTGGAGCAATTGATGAATTGAAGAAGACGAAGTGTTTGATAATGAAGAAAAAGAAGAAAAAGATTTCATTGAAAGTCAAGAAGAAGTGTCTTGAACTCATTAGGTTGTGATCATGCAAGGTTATGTTAGAAGATTTGCTTCATATTGTATATGATTAATGCTTTGATTATATGGCATATTCTTTGAAAATGTGTTGTTGCTAAAAGAGTAGAGCACATATGAGCCACACTACACATTCTTGTTCCTACTATACGTAAGTAGGATAGGGAGATGTTTACATGTTATGGTTTTGATTGTTTCTAATTTTATTTGAATTACCATGAGGGTCGAAATGGAGTCAAATGATTGACTAGATGATTACACCAGTAGCTACCGTTGGGCACGTGCAATGCACATGCCCGCTAAGTGCATTAATACAATTAATAAAATTTTAATTTATTTTGACTGTGATATTTTTCATTTTCTTTTTTTCCCACTTCTCTCTCCTTGTTGGACACAAACCTAATCAGAACAATATAATGTAACTATTGTAGTTGCTTATTGTAGTTGCTTTAAGGAAGCTACTCTATAATCCACTCGTATGGTTTCTGTCAGCTAGGAATAGTAATACATTCTAGTAGCTTCCATAATTGTCTGTGATTTTTCTGTAATTGAAACAAAAATGTACAAATGAAGAACATATGAAGACAAATGTTTTCTCAAAAGTTGTATCTTAATACAACAAAGGTGTAAAGCTAATCAAGAAAATGTTATTTAAAACAAATTTTTTACACGTAAGTAATTAGGTTTTCTTTTTTTTTTTTTGAATACAAGTAATTAGGTTTAATATTTAGTTAATCCAATTATATTTATGGGTATGAAAAGTAATCCTATTTTTTTTCCTCCTAAATTTGCCACGCAAAGTTAGAGTAAAAATTAATTTTTTGATTAATTTAGAGTAAAAATTAATTATTATATATACTATTGAAAATTATTTAATATATTAATTACTATAAAATATCAAGTAATATAATGAATAATTACCATATAATTAATTGTAATAGCAATCCATCACAGCAAATTGCTGTAGAAATTTTGTTTTTTTGGACTCCGTAAAAATTTATAATTAATTAAAAAAATTAAAAAAAATAAAAATAATAAAAAATAATAAAAAAATAAAAAAATAAAAAAGAAGAAGAAGAAGATAGAGGTGCTAGTGCTTGTGGCATGCACCCAACGTTCAGTAGGCGTGTGCACTACACATGCCCATTGAGTGCGTTAATACAATTAAAAGATTTTATTTTTTCTCATTTTTTCTTTCTTTCCTCCCCTTTTTTTCTCTCCTTAGCTTATTAAGTATATAATGTTGTTTAAATTTATAGTAGGATCCATGACAAAAGGATTTATGAAATGCCTTTCATTGCTGCCAATTTTACTCATAGACATAAAGAGATGTGCAGAAAATTTATGATTGCTATTGAATATGTAAGTTAATTTCTTTTTAAAATTATATTTTTATAAGTAATTTACTTTTAATTTCCTTTCCCGCTTAAAGTAATTCGTCATACACGCATATTGCACGTGCTTCCGTATGACCAAGCTAACACCTTTATTTTTCTATATGAATCTTTTCTTCTTTTTTTTTTTAAATAATAAAATTATTTTGATTTCTCAACATATATAACATGCATAGCGGTGATATATATATTATGCAGGAACTTTGCTACCTCAATATCGAAAAACTAATCATCCTATCTACACCAGAAAAGAAAGAAAGTTGGAAGAAAAAGTATGGATTTGGTGTATTGGATGATGAAACAAAGAAACAGCTAATAAACTACAACACATTGATGTTCCGTGACGCTTTTAGACTGCAAAAGATCCTCCTTCGTTGCAACAAATGGACCAAACATTAACAAGAGGTATTTCGATTATTTAGGCTTCCATTAAATGAAAATAATAAAATTTAAACTAATTAATTGCCTATTGGGTATGGATTCTTTCACCACATTTTAGTTGAAATTATGCCTAGCTAATTAATTGAATATGAATTGAAGGAGCAATTGATGAAGAAGAAGTGTCTGATAATGAAGAAGAAGAAGCAGATTTCATTGAAAGTCAAGAAGTGTCTTGAACTCATTAGGTTGTGATAGTTATGTTAGAAGATTTGCTTTATATTGTGTATGATTAATGCTTGATTATATAGCAGATTCTTTGAAAATGTGTTGTTGCTAAAAGATTAATAGGTACGTAGGATAGGGAAATGTTTACATGTTATGGTCTTGATTGTATTCAATTTTATTTGAATTATGATTGTATTCAATTAGATTTGAATTACCATGAGGGTGGAATTATTAGAGTCAATTGGTTGACCAGATGAATACATTAATAGCTACAGCCCGCTAAGTACGTTAATATGATTTTAAAAATGGAGCGTTATGCCTGGGACCCGTGTCCACCATGTGCATGGTGGACACGCTGTACATTCATAATTTTTAAATCTACATTAAAGAAATTATGAATTTACAGTACAGAAATTATGAATGTGCAGTATAGAAATTATGAATCTACATTATAAATTTTGAATCTACAGTTTAGAAATTATGAATCTACAGTATAAAAATTATGAATCTACAGTATAAAAATTATGATTGTTTATCATTATAATGCTCATCTTCTTTCTAGTATATATGTTCATTACCTTACGTATCACACATGTGAATAATGTTTGTTTGCAGAGCTATCTGAGCCGATTGTCACGCACTGTTTGTGTGACCGTGTTAGACCCAATGAATGAACAGGCCAATTGGCTAGCTTGCCATAAAATGGGTAGGGGGCGACAATAGCGTCAAGGGTTGTTCTGCCTTAAATGCTAAGGTTTTGCTGAGTTAGGCATGCCGATACGGTTAAGTTCGGGGAGCTTGTGCTAGTCTTAGACTTGACTATGAAGGGGACCGAGGTGATTTGAAGGGCACAACTGGCCGGGAGCTATTGTCGTTCCCTTGATAAGCCCATGGCAGGGCAAAACCACTTTGGCATGTATGAGGGGTAAGGCTGGTCCGCAGGGTGAGAGGGGCCCTGAGATGCCACACGAACGTTGGGCGCCGGGCCGGACTTTAGGCCCGTTACACAAGGCTCATATTTTTAAAGTACAAAAAAAGATAAAAAATTTTTACCACACTATCAAAATTCAGATTTTAATGTGTCCTGCAAGATCACATCCAAACACCACAAAGCTTAATGAAGTATTTCACCTCAGTAAGAGTAATTTAAAATAATCTAAAGAATAATAAATATGGGTAGGCATAGAACAAAAGCTAAATCAGAACTCTGGAAATTGTTGATACCATATATATAGTCCTACCACAACAGTAAAAAAAATAACATACAACTAAGTAGTTTAAGAAATAGTTAATTAATAAGTAGCGCACCATAAAATGCATATCTAAACAGGTATGAGAACTCAAACACAACAAAGGCAATGAAGAGACATACCAGGCTAGCCAATGAATCCAAGCCACCATCATTAGATTGCAAACGATAGCCTGTTTTCCACCCATTACGAGTTGCAGGACCACTTTGAACCGCAACCCACCAAGCCTAATGAAATCCAGTCTTCAGTTCAAACACCATTTGAGATGTGTAAGTGATTTTTTAATGAGTCTACGGATGAATCTAGTGGCTTAGTTGGCAGAATTAGCTGAAGAACGGAATCATTACCACCGCTACCAGAGGATTATCAACAAAATCATCAGTTATCTGTTATACATCAATATATGTTATATCTTACTCACAATTTCTCAACTGTGTCATAAAGTATTTCAACCCAGTGGCGTTCCTGCTAAAGAAAACTAACAGTCACTTTGGGTACAATACCTATAACAATTTTCCACGCCCACGCTTGTCTTGGGAATTGGGATAATTGTCTTCAAGTTCATATGAAAGCTTTTTATAAGATCCTTGTCATGCAACTCCTTCAAAAAACTCATAGCATTATGTACACTCTGTTGCCGGCATATTTCATCAGCCACTGTCTTGTACGTAATGAAGTCAACTGATCGTTGATTGTCATTCATCTCCCGCAATAATTTTACTGCATTTTCTACCTCTCCACCCAAAGCTAAAGCGTTCACCAGTGAGTTGTAAGATTTGCTACTGGGAATAAATCCTTTCCTTTTCATTTCATCACAGAGTTCTGTGGCATTCTTTGTTCTACCTTGTGCACACAATCCATGGATCAGATAATCATAGGAAAAAGAGTTTGGATGGCACTTATAGACAACACCCATCTGGTGAAATATCCTCAGAGCATCATTCACGTGAAGTGAAAGAACATATCCTTTTATCATAGAATTCAAGGAAAAGATATCTGGTTCAACCCCATCATTAATCATCTGTTTAAATAGGCTACGAGTGGTCTCCATATACAGGTGACTTATATAAGAATTCTTTCCGTTACTCAAAAGTGCAGCAAAAAGAATATTGTAAGTTCTTATTGACGGCCTGCAATCCAATTTCTTACTGTTCTGCATATGCTTAAATATATTTACAGCTCTAGTCAACTTCCTAGCTTCTGTGAAGTAGTATATCATAGTATTGTAAAGTGCCTCAGAACCAATAGAGGGAACAGCAAGCACT